GACTGCCTGGTCCACAATAGGTCGGGTTCTTTTTTTTTGGTTAAAGTGATCTTTTGCCACAAATCACTTGAAAAGCACCCATTTAGAATAGCAGGCCTTCCTTTCTCTTTCAAAACAGACCTCCTCGGCGGCCACCACACCTGTCTCAAGGCTACATTAGGCTGCCAAGGGCATTAGACTACCAGGAGGGTTTCCTTAGAAACAATGACCACCACCACCACCCAAGCACTGCCACCACGCATGTCAGAGGCCCTGCAGCTTGGGATTCAATGTAGAATTCAATTCACATCAGAGGACAGGAGTCACAAGGACAGATTGTACCTCAACACAAAACAAACTTCCTAAGCACAGCTGTCAAAGGCTTGATAGTGTGTCTGCCCGCCTAGCCTATGGCTTCCACTGCAGTCAGGTTACCTTTGAGCCATCTCAGAATCCCGGGGTTCGGCAGGTTTCCTTGTGGGTACCCTGTCATAGAAGTCCTGTCTTTCAGAATGTCAGACCCAGTAACAGTACCCCAGCCTGCACACTCTGACTCCAGCTTCATTACCAACACAGACACCACCTTCTCCCCGCAAAACACATCCTCTCTGCTGCATTGGCCAGCAGGGGGGCTGCCATTCCACTGCCCCCATGAACCTGAAGATCACCCATGAGTCCCAGTCTGCCTTTATTTCCTCCATCAATACCTCAACTTTCCTCCATTTGGTGCACCATCTCCACGTTGCACACTCGAGGGCAAAACTCTTGAGCCTTCAAGACAGATTTGCTGCCTTTAAGTCAGAGCCAAACCCACTGCCCACGGGTGGACTCTAACTCACAGTGGGCCCGACTTCTTATTTAGCGTTTCCAGGCTTGGTAAAATCTTCACAGGAACACACAGCCTCTAGCTTTCTTAAAGGAGCAGCCGATGAGCTTGAACACTGAGCTGGAGGTTAGCAGTCCAGCACTTACCCAACAGGGTCATTAGGGTGGGCTGCTACCTTGGAGGGGTTAAAACTGACTGGAAGTAATGAGGATGGGGCACAGGCCGTGCGTAGAACCAGGGAATGAAACATTATAAACCAACACATCACAAGTGGTCAGACCCAAACTGGGGCAGAATACTAGACATTTCAGCCTTTTTAAAAAGCAACAGACACTTGTTCATTGCAAACAACTACTACTCAGATTCATGACCTGCTCCAACTATGCAGCTGATGAGAACCACTGAAAGGGAAAAACGAGAGCACCTCCTACTTCCCCCAAAGTTGCCAAAATGTGGAGGGGCGGGGTGTACTCTGAACATGAGGATGGGATCCCTGATTCCAATCCTGGCAGGGACCCACCCTCACCCTCCCTCCCGGGAAGCAATTCCACTGGAAAAGAAGCCATAATGCTGGGCCTGCCATGTCATTAACCTCTCCTCTAGGTACCTATGACTGCTCACCTGATGAAGCAGCCTTGGTGACATGGAGTCACCTGTGTGTCTGAGAACAGCTGTGTCGGCTAACAGAAAATCATAGCACATGTCCTCTCAAAAGCACTTTAGATTCTTAGGCTCAGCCAGGAATTTATTGCTAATTATAAGACCAGATACAAGGCTACTATTTCAACTAGCGCTGAAGCATTATTCACAGGTTGTTTCATAGGAAAACAAATCACTTGCTGGGGTGTGTGAGGTGTTTACATTGCTGCAAACAGCAATGGCCTTACACACACACACACACACACACACACACACACACACACACAGAGAGAGAAATGCCTGTAACAAAAGCTCACTCTCTTACATAAAACTGGGTACTATCAATCTTGCTGGTGGACATGCAAAATAAAAATTTAAACATGCTTTCCGAGAGAAACGTGGCACTAATAGGCAAACCCACACCACCCTTCCTGGCCTTCTGTCCAAGGGAGTATCTGACAGGATCATGTAAGTCTTACAGAGAAGCTACTCAAAAAAGAGGTTCATTAGCAGGGCACTTGAACAATTTACAGCATTATCCACACAAGCATAAATGATAATGTTAGCAAAAAGAGTAACATGGTCTTTACACACACATAGTGAGCAATCTCATCTGTAAAGGGAGTGCGAAATATCATAGATAGACACAACACACACACACACACACACACACACACACACACACACACACACACACGGCAGCCAGTCACAGCAACAACAAGCCCACCTGATAGCTCTGAAACCTGAAATTTTCATCTTTACTTTACTTTAGCTTTGGATAATTTGGATATTTCACTATTCCTTGATTTGTTGCACTATGCATCATCTGCTAACTTTCCCTTCTTCAGTAGACAACAGTACAAATTAAAATGTGTGAATTGTTTATATAAGGGGGCTGTAAGAAATTTGTGAGAAAGTGGAATGAAAAGACCCTGGGATTTATTCATGAAGTTCTGGAAGCCCCTCATGTGTGTGGTAAACAACAGAGTGACAGGACACCAGCCACTGGCAGAAAGCCATGAGAATCTGAGCTTTTCAAAGGTCACAAAACAACACGGAAGCACTTACCATCACCAAAGCTCAACAAACGGCAGTGTTTGCAGTGTGCTCCGCTAGCATCAAGGAGAATGAAGCACCTAACCCACAGTGCTGTGGCAAGCAGGTTTGGGGTCACCTTGGCTGGGCTAGGGTTCTCCAGTTTGGCATCTAACTCAATACAACAGCTGGGGTGGGGTGGGGTGAGGGTGGGATGTTGCCCCATGATGCCAGTGGAAGAAGGACTCCTTGGAAGTAGGGCAGCTCCTTTTGCAGCAGACTTTGTGGTTTGTAAGCCTCCTGCCATATTACCTGCTGATTTCAGGAGCCATTAATGGGCTGCCAACCTCGGATTCATTAGCCTTTCATCCACCGGCCTATGGTCTTCCTGCTTCATCAGCCCCTGCAACTATGTGAGTCAGAAGCCTCTATCCTATCATTTGACCCCTGGACTTACACAGACTGGACTTACCTGTGCGAACCAACTCTTGATAGAAATCTTTCTATGTACATACACATACAAGAGTCACTGGTTTTGCGTCTCTAGACCAGCCTAGAGCAAGGGGTTAAGACAAAATGTACTCAGAACAGCCACTAGCATCAGCTGATCACTTAGGTTGTGTCAAACACCTTTGCTAGTCAGTCCTCACAGCCACCACTGGGGAAAGTGACTCAGTGATGTGCCCAAGGGCCCAGAGGACTCAGTAGCAGACCCAAAAGTCACTCCTAAGCAAGTACTCCGGCCAAACTCTTCAAGCTCTCAGCCAAGACACTTTTCCACTCTCAACAGCTGGCCAGGAACAGCAGGTTTCCTTCAGGGTACAGGATGGGCCCTGAAGGAAAACAGGGTGTCTCATCGCTAAGAGCAGCACAGAACCAGAGGGAGGGAGGGCAGATGAATAGTGGGGAGGGAGCACCCAAAGAAGCTGAGACTGAGAGGGGAAACCAAGGCTCTGTTAGGTGATGTGTCCACTTGTTCAAAGGACAAAGACCCCCATCTTCCCTGTGCTAATGCATGCTGGGGGCGAGGACCAGCCCATCCTGGGCATCAAGACTGTCACTCAGCCAATTCCAGATCCCAATCAAAGCCAGTGTTGGGAAAACAAACACTGTGAATGCTCAAGGAGAACTCATACACCCCTGGAAACTACCTCCCACTCCAGGGAGCAAGGACAGGTTAAATAACCTTTAAAGACAGTTGTGGTAGTTACATAATCTGGTGTCAATTTGGGACTTGAGAGGATTACGAGTGAAGGGGTGGAGTCCAGCCTGGCAATCACTGCATAGCCAACGAAGCCTCTGTGTAAGCCTGGCCTTTCCCTAAGGATTCTAGGAATTCCTGGTTCTTCCCTGGAGGCCAGCGACACTCTCTCTGCTCACTCCGATAAGATGCTCTACTGACAAGACACATGGCGCTATGCTGATGTAGCCCATGACCTCTGGAGCCGGAGAAGCCACGTGGAGACCCCTGCCAGTGTTGGGATGCTTACGACACCACTGGATCCACTAGACTTCCCACTCACTGTCCTGCGATCGTCCTGCATTCGGCGTCATTGCATGTGTTTCATGAGTCTGAAGAGGACTTTATTTATTGTTATAGGACATATGGGCTAATATCAGACTTATGGACTTGATCTGGACCGACCTGGGATGTTTCCTTCAATAGTCAACTTCTCTTGTATATAAAGTTGATGTTATTGACTATCTCCCCTCCTCGCACCCCACCCCCAAGTCTTCTAAGGGGGCATAAACTACTAAACCACAGTTGACTTATGAGAGGGCTTCACTAAAGAAAACTGAGGAGTTTGGGACAAGGAATGCCAAACAAGGTGGGCAGGCGGCCGGGTACCACAGGATGACTCGGGACCCTCCCTCACAGGATCACTTTCCTAACATGACTCCTACTTAGTGCTAACAGGCAGGTACTTACTAATAATGTTAGCAAAACAAGTGGCCGAAAAACAGATCCGAAAAACAAAGCAATATACTTCCAAGTCTAATATGGGAGAATTCTCCTCAGCCCCAAACATTGGTGACATCCGCAGAAGCTCACATGGTGCTTTTCAAGACTGTCACCCAGTGATGTCTCTGTCAGTGGACTTTCCCTAAGGCTGGACACACACCCAAAGCGATTCCTCGGGTACATGGCCAAAGTCTATCCAAGCCTCATCAAAGAAACATCTGAGAGTCTTCACACACTCAGGTGCATATTCTTCTACATAAACAGAGCTGAAGTAATTTCCAAATTGTCAGCTTCTCAAGACCTGATACCAATGTCAAGTCAACATAATATACAAAGTGACAGAACTGTTAGTGATAATCTATTTACAAGGGAAATGAGAACAACACACACACAAATATTTCACTTCAAGAGACCATGCCCAACATTTATTCTGTTCAAGTTCTTCCATGAAACTAGTCTTTTAGGCAAACAAGCAATTATTAAAAGGCCTGGGTTACTGGACTGCAGGAGACACCTACACTGGTATGGAAACCCCCCTGCTCCACTTTCGACACTTACCTTCTTTTTGTCCCTCATGGAGCCTTTGCCTCGGACCATTATTTTACATCCTGTCTCTGCTTCAAGCTGTTTCGCTGTCAGTCCTCTGGGGCCAAGGATTCTCCCAACGAAATTAAACTGGGGAAGGAAGGGGAAGGGGAAATGTCACCATCCATCCATTATTCATTTGCTTGAATACACAGTTCTAATAACTTCTCAAGATACATACTTTTTTAAACACAACAAAATTCCTGAAGACTTTGTGAATTGCAAGCCACATTGAAGGGCTCCAGGCCCACAGCCCAATGATGGTGTGAACTTTCTGTCCAAAGGTGTGAATATGAGTTGGGGAGGGCAGGACCTGGTTGTAACAGGGTCTTGGGGCCACAGCAGCACCACACCACCAAACCAGGTGGCTTTTAATAGACGCATCCTTCTGGAAGTACAGTATTAAGAGAGCTTTCATGTTAAACTGTGGTTGCCCTTTTTATAGGAAAGTCTTAGGAAAAATCCCAGTCTTGATAGTGGAGGTAGAAGGTGGAGTGGGAGCAGGAGCAGGACGGGGGAGTCTTGGGGGAGGAGAACTGTGGCTCTGACTTAGGGAAACGCTATGCACAAGAGAAGAAAATGCTGCCTAGTTTCTCCACCACTACCTCCACCCCTGTAACCAAGCCACGATATGCTACAGGGTTCCCTAGCTGCAGACAGATCCCTAGGTCTATGAGCCTCATCCATCTGAATCTGAAAGGGTACCAACCTCCACACCCCCACCCCCACACCAGTGGCAGTCAGGTGGTGGCTGTGCATGAGGTGCTCTGCTGGGACTCAACCTGGGTTTTATCCACACAAGTTGGGCGTGCTAGCATGCACCCCCACTCACCACGGTCCACAAACACTGCACTCAAGACAAGAGGCTAGGATAGGTTTTTAGTGTGCAACAGTCCCTCTCCAATTGTGTGCTGCTGCTAATGCTGCTTTTATCTAAGCCACGATGTTGCACATCTGTAGCAGTACTGACATTTGTTTCGGCTAGTAATCTCCCTGTGTAACTGGAAGTTGAGGTCTTTTTAAATGGTTTACTAGTAGACACTGGAAGTAATTTTTTTGAATCAAATCTAAGGTTCTTTGTTTTTTCTATTGTGCTGTTTACATTTCGTATTGATTTCTATCTTGCAATTATATGCATAACAAACATCTTTTCCCATTTGGTGGCTTGCCTCCCTATATTTTTTATGGTAAGTGTTGAACTGTGAGGCGTAGTCAATGTCTAAGAGCTATCTCGTGAACAAGGAGCTATTTCTCGGGACCATTGGAAGACAGCATCAATGGAGCAAAATCGAGACCTCTGTCTAAGCTGTAGCAAGACAGAGGCAAAGGAGCCATACTGAGCCCAGAAGCCACGGCAAGGGAACCCTGAGACAGAGCAGAGGAGCTCTAGGACTATAAGGCTGTGAGGCGGAGCAGCAGGCAGGTCTCCTGGCCAGTGGAGAGAGAGGGACTAAGGACCAGAGGAACTTGGCTACTGGCTGAAGAGAGGTGTTGCTGTGGACCAATGACTGTAACCTTACTGTTCACTGATTCTGACTTGTAGTGACCTTCCTGAATAATAATCTACTTTAACTGTGATGAGTTCTGTGTGGCCATTGCAAGGAATGATTGAAGCCAGTACAGACGTAGAGTGCACCTGGGAGGAACAGTCAGTGTCAGCATAGTCAAAAAATGAGAGGGTGGAGGCATTGGAGGGGTGGGGGGAAATAAGTCTGCCTGCTCCCATATAGAACGCTTACAAAGTCAGAATGGACTGAATAGTATTGTGTACGGTAACTGGAAGCTTTTCATTGTAATACAGTTGAAGTTAACGATCTTTGCTTCAAAGTTTCCTGTTTTAAGTCTTTCCTCACCCCAAGGTCACCAAGATGTTGCCCCATACATTCTTTCATAAACTCTGTAATTCCTTTCACATTTAGGTTCTAGGGTATGTGTGTGGCCAGCTTTTTCCTCTCATATGGGTAGCCCAGTGTCTGAGTACATTTCATGGGCAAAACTATCCTCCCACTTCATACTCCGCAGCGGCCAACACTGCCACACATCAAACATCTCTATCGTTCTGGGCTGTCCGCTCTATTCCACTAACATAGCTTGCCCTTGCTTAAGTACCACACTCTATTAATTGCTTTGACTTTATATTAAATGCCTGCTATTTCTTCTTTAAAATTCCTTAAAATCAAGACGGTGGGCACCAGGCTTGTAGCCAGCCTCTCACCAATCTATGTGCTGAGCAAATCATCAAAGCTGCATTCCATAAAGAAGAGTATGGCATCAGGACGGGAGGAAGCCTTATTAACAACCTGTGGTATGTAGGCATCACCACCTTGCTTGCTGAAAAAGAGGAATTTAAGTACTTGTTGAAGAAGATCGTGGATTGCAGCCTTCAGTATGGATTACAACTCAATGTAAGCAAGACCAAAATCCTACAACAGGAACAATACGTCACATGATAAAGGGCAAAAGCTTGAGGTTGTCAACGATTTTGTCTTACTTGGATCCACAACCAGTGTTCATGAAAGCAGTAGTCTAGAGATCAAAAGACATATTGCAGTGGGTAAATCTGCTGCACAAGACCTCTTTAGAGAACTGAAGACCAGAGACATTTCTTTGAAGCCTAAGGTACACCCAACCCAAGCAGTATTCTCCATTGCGTCATATGCATGTGAAAGTTGGACATTAAATAAAGATGACAAGAATGGATGCAACTGAATTTTTGATGCTGGAGAAGAATATAGAAAGTCCCATCTACTTCGTATTCCTTAGGGACAAGGATGGTAAGACTTCATCTTACATACTCTGTACATGTTGTCAGGAGAGACCAGTCCCTGGAGAAGGACATCATGTTTGGTAAAGGGAAAGCGTGACAATAGAGAAGGCCTTCCGTGAGATGGGTTGACACCAGTGCTGCAACAGGCTCAATCAAGCGTAGGAACGATCATGAGGATGGCACGTCCCACGGTGGTGTTTCCTTCTGCTGTGTATCAGGTTGCCACGAGTCAGAGTTGACTCCATTGCCCCTGACAACAACAACAGCATCTAACTAGTTCTCCTTTATTCTTCAAAAGTCTATTAGCTAGGAAAGCCAGCCATATTCCCACATATATTTTAGCCTGAGTGATTGTTTTCTTAAATAATAGTTTCAGGAATTTTAATTGGAATCATACTGCAACACAGAATTTTCAAAGCCATGAGCATGGTTTAATTTTTCCGAATGATTACATTGTCTTTGATTTTCACTCAGAAATGGAAAGGTTTTAGGGGATGTGCCACTACTCATCTTTTGTTAAGATTCATTTCTAGATAGTTGGGGCATTTTTTCTGCTACTGTGTATCATTTTTTTTATTTCACTTTGTTTCTGATGCACAAGCATATAGTTGATTTTTCTCTATCAACCGTGTTCTTCTCAATCAAGTCGTTGGTTTCTCTAAGTAGAAAATCACAGCACATGGAAACAATCTATTTTCCTCATTCCCAACCTCAGGTTTCCTATTTCTCTTTCTTGCCGTTCCCCCCCACCCCCAGCACCTTGACTTCAAAGTCAAATAAAAGTTTATCACCCCCGACTGGGTCCAGCTTTCAAGAATAAACATTTCAACAGTCCCCAGCAAGCTAGAGGAAATTGTGGACACCTTTGATCAGAGTTAAGAAAATTTCCTTCAAACCTTGATTTCCTGAGAGTTTTTATCACAAACGGATGTTTGAATGTATCACATTTTTCAGCTTCTACTCAGACAAGCACAATAATTCTCCTTCATCCTGTTGAATAAATTACACTAATTGTTAAACCTTACATTCCTAAAATAAACTCTACTTGATCGTGATGTACTATCCTTTTATATGAAATGCTCCATTCAGTTGACTAGCATTTTGAGAGCCACCCCCACCCCCCCAACAACTTTCAGAGTAACGAATGTCACTAGCTTGTAATTTTCTTTCTCATAACATCCTTGTCAGCACTGGGCATCAAGGTTATTCTGGCCTCAAAGTGAAAGGAGATGCAGGGCCTCTTTTATCCTCTCTAACTGGATGTGGGCCTGTGCCATCTCCCCCTCAAACATGGACAGTGCATCCACTGCTGTAGCCGCCTGAGCCCAGCGTTTTCCTCGTGGAGTTCTGAATTAGGGGCTAAATTTCGTGAAGCCATGGCCTACTTCATGTCTGCTTTCACCTTTCTTAATCTGATGATTCCCAACCTTTGTTATTCTTATATTTTAACTGGGACGCCTGTAAAATATATATACAGTGAACCCTCGCCACTTCGCACTTCGGCTTCCACGGCTTCACTCTATCGCGGTTTTTGCGTAACAGCACCCACTGCCTACAACCGCTCCTTCAGAGGAAAAAGACGGCGACCCACGTGTAGAGTACATCCCTTAAGTCATTTCATAGGCTATTGATTACAGTATTTGTAAGAACGATGTATAATAATACTGTATGTGAAATATGTAATACTGTAAACTAGATGCCATAAATAATATAATAAATAATAAATGATAATTGTAACGTCCAAAATGGTTTACTGTATTTTCCCTTTTTCGTTTAATAAATTGGGTAATACGAGTGTAATGGCGACTAAAGGGTGCTTTTTCATGTCCTCTATGCTCTAACTACGAAAATATTTGATTTACAAATAAGGAATCCTACTTCGCGGAATTTCATTTATCACGGTAAGGTCTAGAACCGATTAACCGCGATAAACGAGGGTTCACTGTATATATATAAAAGAAGGAGTTTTGTTTCTCTATTCAATTCACTGGTTTTCGTTAGCATTAATCGTTTTCATTAGCATTAATCGTTTTCAGTAAAATACGTGATAGGGATAAAAAAAGAACTCCTACCTCCTCTTAAAAAGTCTGTGAAAATACTTGTACTCTATTTGTAACCTTCACTATTTCTGAAAAGTAGACTTGGGTCAGTACATTATGGGACTCCGCAAACTCTGTAAAATGCTTTTTGACATACAGTAACTCACACATTGGACGTGTGACACATCTCAAACAGGGTAAGTATCTAGGGAAAATGCATAGATGTCATATGTAAAACAGCATGTCCCTTAGAAGTCTCCAGCACTTGACGTACAATTTGTACG